GCCGAGCTCATCATGCATACAAGCATCGCAGCGCTCAGCCCGCGTCGCTTGGACGATTTGTTGTTGGTCGCTAGTCAGGCGTTTCCTGGTAGAGCGTTCGTTCCATGTAGCTGATTTCAACGCCTGACTAGCGACAAACAACAAATCATCCAGATCAAGCGACGCGGGCTGAGCGCTCCAGTGGCAGTGTCTTGCTCCGGCGGGGCTTGCAGGATATATCCGTCCAGTTGCTGCGATGCTTGTATGATGAACGCGTCCTGCTCGGCGGCAGTCTCGAAGCTATGAGCGAATGGACCTACGCCGTTTCCCAGCCTAAATTCTGGCGGGCAGAGCCAACTAGGTAACGGGTCTTGCACACTATCGAAAAGACTAAGTGAAACTGCGCTCTCCGTGCCGCGGTTCTAAGCAGGTTAGACCACTGAACTCGTCTCCTCGGTTTGAAAACCCTCGTGGGTCGGGATGAGAATGACACAATAGTGACTCGTTCCAGTGATATAACCTATACGTAAAGGTCGACAGAGTTTTGAGTAGGTTGAAGCAAGCCTTTGTGGCTGAACTGCTCATATTTATCTGTTAGCTATTAATTGAAAGGCAAACAGCAGATTCATAATTGCACCCAAGAAATATTCAACTCCAATAATAGTTTTCCCATCACTGCTTTTAATATAGACTCTGTGTCTGAGGTGGTCATGCATGTATTCGTGTATAAACCAAGCGCACATTGTTTACTAAGGAAGAAAGGACTGATCATCAGCTGATCTGCTGGATGCAACTGCACTAGGGTCTGAAGAATGACTGGAAGGAGAATCTGGAGAAGGACTGAACCTTGCAAACGTAGGTTCCAGCCCTGGAAAAATCTGAGGCCTCTTCTACCAATCATGCACCTAGAATTTTGAAGCACGACCCAGGAAAAGTGTTTAATGAAGCAAAGTTTTTTCGACATGTACACGTAACATAGGGACCAATAATGTATGAATAAAAGTCGGCGTGTTCGCCGGCCGAGATGGGCAGAGATGTAGTGACTATACTAGTTTAGCTCTCGAAATTTGCATCTCTTCCAGGGCCGCTCTCTGTCTTCAGAAACCTGCTGGAAAGAAAGGTCGCTAGTTAGTATATATACATAAGTGTGCACTATTTAGAGTGCTATGGTGGTTTTATGAGCAGCTACGGATTAGCAAAGAAGCCCTATCACGTGTTGTCCATGCAGCACAACACTGTTTTACCAAACGCCAAGGTACGTATGTGGTTCTTCAGAAGATATACCAGGCCACACTCCCTGTCTCACTGTGTTGGACCTCTTCCTGCTGACCACGATCAAATCCCGTCCCCACACTTGCTGTTGGTGATGCTGCAGCCGGAGATGGCAGAGGAGAGGAGCTCCTTGGTTGAGATGTTCTTGTACAGTCACAGGGATCCAAGGATAAAACTGTAGAGATCAAGAATAGGCGTTTTCAATGCCAATGAATTACGTACATGCATATACGTACCTTGTTCCAACTTCCATCATATTCGGAGGAAGGCAATCTATCCGTATGACCGTGTACTTTCTGGATTTGTTGTTTACCCGACATTTTATAACTGGATTTGTGCTTATAGGTGGAATGAAATTCTTGTTTTTATTATGTTCCCCTATCCTTTACAGCTTTCTGGGTGACCTTTGGATTTATGGGCAAATGACAAAGGTCATCCGGACAAATTGCTGTTGCCGGTTTACCCTGGTGAGTAACACCTCCCCGAAAGTGTCTCAGAACCTGAAAAGTAGAGAAAATGACACTCTTCATTGCAAGAAGCTACATAACCTCATAAGATTTCCCAGCCTCAACAAGATCTTTGGCCCAGCCAATCACCTCTGTGAACATTTCAACTATTACTTGTTCTGGATAGAGCTCTGCCCTGTGGTGTTAGTAGTTGCAGGTGGCTCCTTACGGAATTCCTGTAGAAAATATTCTATTTCCTCCTTGAGGAAATCAATCTTGGCCTTCTCCATCAACTACGGAGAAAACACTGATTATCGCCACAATAATAATACTGACAGTCGAAACCTTCTCAGCAAAGTATAGGAGACACGCATATCATTTGCAGGGGCGGGGATCAACTCATGGCATGGCTTGCCTTACAGAAGGAAGCAGAGAGCTGGAAACATCTCCTTTGCCTTCCTCTTCAAACAACTTCCCCAGACTATTACGCCACCTACTGCACTGGACGCTTTCTGTTGTATGGCTGCCAGTGATGCAAACTCTTCACTATCTTCTTCAGGTTTGGGGCCAATAGACGGCTGACTAAATGGTATGACAAGGGCTCTAGAGGGGTAGAAAATACTTTAGTCATCAATCACATTGCATACTGCATTGGCAAAGTACTCTTATTAAACAGAGCCAACTCCCAGTACAACACAAAGGGCATAGTTTGAAATGCAGACAGACTGGCTAGGGATGTGACCTATTCATTACACCTAATTTACACATGTGCAGCCATGCACTCTAGGTGGGATGTCATAACTCCTAATTCACACATGGTGTATAGTCAATGGGGCTCTCCACCCTTAGTGGTTGCACTGGCCAGACTGTAGATGGGCAATGTCTCTGATTTAGTGCACACACCTTTATGCTTGGTGTCGCTAAACTTACAGCAGATCGGTGGGATTGACCGAGGTTTTGTCAACCCAACCTCCATGTTTCACCCATTGCAGAGGTTGATCAATAGCTCGCTCACACCATTAAGGCTTTTGGGGTGATCTAGAACAAATGAGAGTGTTGATTTACAGCATCTCTCTACACATATTGAGTCAGATGTGCTCTTGGTTTAATCAAGTGCCCTGAATCACCCTGTCCACACAATCAAAGCGGGCTGCAGATGATTTTCCTTGAAAAAAATCTGTGATTATGAACAATACTTATTTCTGTTGAAACATACCTGTCTCACTCTCCCCTCGGAATAGGGTACGCATCATACATCTTGACTAACAGCTCATAATGCACCGCCATTGCACCAGAAGCAACAGCAAGAAGACCTAATAGAAGTCACATTTGCCAGCTTACCAGACATGCAATTCTTACTTGGAATAAAGTTGTGCTTGAAAAATTTTCGCATTACTTGCACAAGGTTGTGCAGTGGTGCTGCTGATTCCAGTGGTTGGTTGATTTGGCTCTGCAAATCTATTATGGTGTGCTGGTTTTGCCAGCAAGCTCAATACACTGGCCCCCAATTGGTGGCCAAGCTAACTTCACACTTTCTTCTTGAATCTCCACACCATTTTCATCAACAAAAAGGAGAGCCGAGACACCTTCTGGCTGCTTACCAGCATACACCGCGATTAATCTTTATGGATCATTATAATAATATGGAAAATTCTTCTCCAAAAAATGATGGAACTCGGCCAGCTCCTTATCCGAAAAAGAGCACATGAACCCTCCTGCACCAAATGTCATTCGAATCTCTTTAAGAAAATTTTGACGAAGAAGTGATTCGACTGTATGAAAGCAGAGCCTAACAATTGTATTATCTATGCTGCGATTGTTAGACTTAGATCTACCTCCTTTGTTTATCACTCTTTCCTGTAACCCATGCGAAGTAGCTGGCGTTATATCCGTCCACATATGCTTCCAGTTGTAGGATAAATTAGACTTCTCTCTGTATTTTCCCTTCGCTGATACCGTATGAAATGAACAGGTGTTCTCATCTACCCTGTAATACTACGCAAAAATGCTTCATTACTTTTATGTTTCTGCGGGATTATTTGTACTTGCAACTTTGTCTGCATTTGTTGCACACTCTCCGGTGCAGAAGACTGATCCATTGACAAAAAACGGGCGACTCGTCGATATCAGGTGAACTAGTGATGGCATGCGCACATAGAATTTTGTGCGCACCCGTCGTGTTAAACGGGAATGAGCCCGCGCGTGACCTATGCACGCATGCGCAATACCCGCCGCGCGCAAGTGATGCATGCGTATATACGTGCGGGGGGATGGCGTGTGTTTCGCTGACCAGGGAGAGACAAGAGGAGACCTGGGCAGACTAGTAGAGATCTGGGAGACTGAGGGGAGACCAGTAGAGACTAGTGTGGACTGGTAGAGACCCGAGAGATTGGGGGGAGACGAGTAGAGACTAGTAGAGACTGGTAGAGACCAGTAGAGACCTTAGAGACTAGTGGAGACCAGTAGAGACCTGAGAGACGGGTGGAGACTAGTGGAGACTGGTGTAGACCAGTAGAGACTGGGAGAGAGACTATATAGGGACAGTGGAACAGCTGACTTAGCATATTTCGTAATTCTTATATAAAGTAAGAACCCCAAAAGTATTGCGACGCACGTTACTTTTCACTGTGTTTCTCTTGGCACTCGTTGCATAGAACCACTGAGTAATTCATTAGCCAATCATAACCGGAGAAACTTCATAACGCACAGAATTTTTAGTTGTGCATTTACAAATAGATACTTTGCAGTAGTAAAATTTACATCTTCATTTTTTAAAATTATATGTGACCGTCCACACGAAAAAGCGGTATAAATGTTTTACGAGATTTCACCGGATTCCGCGTTGTCTACCCTTTTGCCGTGCTGCTCCAAAATTTGCCGACTTATACCGCTTGCACGGTTGTGGAACAAGGCTATCTCTCGTGGAAACGAAGAAGACAGGCTCAACGAAGGAAACAGGTAAGCTTTTAGCAGCCCTAGCTCCTCGTTAGGCAGTTGTTTTTTTGACGGCCTGTAAATTTCTCTGCGTAATTACTGTGCATTGCACCCGTTTATGCGCACGTGGATATCGACATAGCCTACTTCGAAGCGCCGCAGTATATAGCTGTCTTCTTAAGCCCTCTGTTAAAAAAAGTCTGAATCGTGCAGTACCTGCTGTTTCGACTTTTCAGGCTGTTTACTAAAAATAAATTTTGCCGACTTCCCGGCCCGACGGTCCCATATAGTAGTAGTTCATAAACGAATTTAGTCCTGAAAAATGTATTTAAAGTCATTGTTTACAGTAACATGCATTATATTCCACAGGGTATCAACCGTACGCTGCTGTCTTGGATCAAGCTCTGGGACGAGACAGTCTTTGGCCACAGCTCTCTCTCCTCCAGCAATGGCAATGTGGGTACTGTATCTAGTACAGCCAAAGAGAAAGAAGGATCAAAGAATAGACCTTCTCAGCATGGCTCAGGTGATGTGAGAGGAGGTGGTACTAGTTGGAGGGGAGGACTTCGTGGTGGGAAGAGTGAATGGCGCGAGCTTGGAGACCCTGTCACCTTTTCAAGTGTGGAGGTGAGTATACAACTACTTAAGCAACATGCTTAAATGGTATCATTTTGCTGTAAGTGCTACATTAGAGGTCCTCAATACTTCTTGGGTTCGTGAGCGTAAGCGCTTCTTTGATGATGCTGTGTCATCATTTGTGTGGCATGATGTGTATGATGTTGTTCTTTTAGTGTAGTGGATGCTATTGAACCAGAAAGTGTACAATTAGGCCTTGCCACCCCCTCCCTCATAGTCAACACGCTCTTGAATAACAGAGTAGTTTGATTTATAGTTTGTCTTTATCTGGAACTATGCACACACATCCTTCATAATACGTACATTAAAGCACCGACTTTTTTGATCAATAGAGGCTGTTTTTTTAATTGAGGTTATGTGTTCACTAACACACCTGTATAACATACATATATATGCAACAAATATAAAGTGTACAATAATGCAAAATTAAGACACAATGAATGAGCGGACAATATTGGAAGAAATGAATGTGCTGTACAACTCCCTCAGTTAAAAGTTGTCCTTTGGAATTAGTTGTTCCTCCTCTTTTTTCCTTTTTAAACATTTAGACGGGCATTTGTGAAATGAGATGTTTAAGACAAATATGCCAATGATGGCTAATATAACCAAACAAATGCTAAATGTATTAATTGCTCTCTGAGTTACAAAGGACTGAGCAAAAATATTCTGCATTATTGTTAAATAAACAATGATAATGAGAACCAAAAATATGTTGTCTTGAACAAAATAAGTGTATTTCCTGTAAGGCTGGGCCAATGCAAGGAGCAAGTAAAATAACAAAAGTAATATAACTGTGTAGTCATAGCTAAAGATGAGATAGGCCAACACTGTGAAGGCATACACTGTACCTCTGAGTAGAAGGTAAAGTGCTGAGAAATAACGAAAGTCCCGAGTGCCATTGGTACCATTCTTGTAATGTCCCTGGAAGGTGTCCATGAAGATGTGTAGTGTCTGGCAGGTGAGGCCTGTGCGGTTGAGACAGACCTGGAAACAAGAGCAGGGGTAGAGGAACAGGAGGGCCATTGGGAGCAGTGTGAAGGTGAGGAGAAAGAAGAGGGCCAGACAGGCATAGGGCAGGTGCTTGCTGCTAAAGAAGGCCACATCTCCCTGGTTAAAGAGATAGAGCTGAGGAAGTGGCTGGCCTCTCTCATCATAGAGAGCTACAGGCAAAAGTAGGTCCACAGACACACTGAGAATTTTGACGTAGGAGAGGAGAAAGAAAGTAGCAAAAGCATCAATTAGTGAGTTTCTTATGTTCCATTGTCTACGAAACCTGATGTAGAGAGACACGAAAGGTTTGCAGAGGAAGACAACAAGACGAACATTGTGATCATAGAACAGGACCAGGAGGTAAGAGAGGCCAATAAGTAGGAGAGGGTATATAGCAATGAGGTAGTCTAGAGCCATTACATGGAGAGTGTCTGTATGGGGGTTGAGGCAGAATGGAGAGTAGACTGAGCGAAAGAAATCCAAATTCCACATGCCAAAAAATGATGCACAGGCCTTAGCCATTACTTTTAGTACAGGAGTAAATTTAGAAAGACACCTTTCCAAATGCCTCATATTCGAAGGACACGTAAGAATCTGAGAAAATAGAATAAATCCATGAAGTTTTGGGGAAAAGGCACTGATTCTGAAAGTGATGACAAAGATAAAGAAAGCAGTTAGTGGGAGAAAGGAGACTGCTGTGTACTTGCCCAAGTTACTAGTGGTGCAGTTGACACAAGTGGGAGAGTAGGAATAGACTGGTGGGGCATAGCCTGACATACAACCGCCACACATCTGACGTGTTCGTCTGTGTGTCCCACAGATGTAGTTATTTATGAGAGAAGTTGATGTAACTGTAGCATTAAAGTAAAACCCCCTCATACCTGCCCTTTGACAAGTGTACTCACAAGGTCCAACAGCAAGGGTATCTTGCCCAAAAGTGATGCAGTAGCATTCCTGCAAAAGCAGCTCATAGGGAGTGTCGTAACAAATAATTACAGAATTGAAGGTCTGAGTGTCGCAAGAACATACTCCAGTAGAGTTGCTTCTCAGCTTCCAAGGAGGACAAGAATCGTCTCTTGCTTGTGCTGTGGTGTTGGTTGAAGCTGTTCCAGCAACAGATAGTAGACACCAACACAGTTGAACTGAACTGAATACTTTCATTCTAAGAAAATGGCAGCAGTAGGTTGTAACAACGACTCCAAGTAGCGTTTATGACTTTATCCTCTTAACGACTCTTAAAAGGGATCGACTGTGCTGTGTATACGTATTAGCCGCTTATGAAGCTACGATCCACCCTCCTACGTACCTCCTACGATCCACTCAACTTGATGTGTTTTTCTTACGCAAATCAGTATAAAGAATGAAATTTGGGACATCTTGCTGTTCACCCCAATTGTGTATACTCATGTGGCAGCCATAGCACCAGGGCCATCCGTGCATCAATCAATGGGCGCAACCAGCAGTATAATAGGTGCAGATGCCTTTGCTTTGTATAGCGGACTTATAGATCTTAGCCATCTGAGCTGCCTTTGTAGATTAGGTGGTAGAGCGCTCCTACGTAGACTGTAGGGTTCGAGTCCTATCACGTGTTGGCCTGGATCTTTACACTTGCTTTGCTTTCTATCATTCATACATATTACCAATGGCTGTCGTATCTTCCAGACAACAAAACATCATCAACAACTCCATGCAGACACAATTTGAGTTGAATGCTTAGAGTATCACAGTATAACCTTGCCTTTCTTTGAACATCTAACTTTCAAAGTCATCCTCCTGTATCTCACTGACTAACGTTTTCCAAACGTGAAACAATCAAGTGAAGTGATTGGAAATGCTCAAACCCATCCCCAAGCTTCTCCTACAAGCCAACTAACCAAAGCCTATTTGTGCTGGACATTCCCACAATACATGACTCATACTTTCACACTTCTACACAGTAACCTCATCTCCAAGCTCTCCCTTCTCCACGTACGCACATCTATATCCAGGACCAATTGCATGTGACCCATGTCCCCTATCAGTTATGATGGGAAATAACCCAAAAAACCAATACGCATAACCAGCACAGGCTTACTTTGACCAAGTGTAGCCCATTCAGTGCATCGTGGATGGATGAAGTTAACTCAGGGGTCCAGCATTGCTCTTAATGCTACCCACTGAGCCAGCTAGAATGAGAAACTGACTAGATGACTGTATGGCGTGGCCATGTCCATCATTAGCAATGGCTCATGCTGTGGGTATCAACGCTAACAATTCTGCCACATGTTTGCACTTGTGCTTTCAACTTGTAATTAAGGTGATGGTTTCTTCTGATATTGAGAAAAAATAATTTGGTTTGCAGGCACTAGATGAGTCAAGACGACCCAAGTTAAAGGTACGTATGGTACTTACACCTCTCATGGCAACTTGCTTATGTAGCTGCATGACTCTTGCCAAAGTTGTGTTTGTAAACCTAACCTACGTATATATACCACAAGTGACAGATCAGTAATATTATTACCCTCGGCGCGCATGCGCAGCGAGGGTACAGTAGTTGGGTCTGTGTGCCTGTCTGTCTGTGTGTCTGTTACTCTACATCTCTCCTCTCGGATGTCTGTTCGTCTCACAAACGATGCGACGTACTCAACGGGCAATGAAGGTCAGAAATTATGAGCGGTTTTCTCTGAAAAATGCTCCGTTGCAGAGCTACAGCGCTTCCAGCATTGTAATGCTAATGTGTAGTCGGCCATTTTTTATCGCTGCGGAAAATGCGCATGCGGTTATATGCTAATAAGCTTACCTCGACCGGGCCGCTTGCTCTGTGTATCTTGAAGGCATAAGAAGTCACAACGAAGGGCGTGTATCGACTCCCGCATGCTATTTACTACTGTAGCTAGTCCGTGTCAGACTCTCCGCGAGCTACTAGCGTGGATACCACGAGTAAACGCCCAGCCCATAAATTAGTGGTACCACGCGTGTGCAGTTCGCCGAGGGTTTGCACTTCAGTGCTTTTCATATTGTGTTAGTGAATATACATATGTAGCTCTTGTTGTATAATGACCCACCATGGCAAGCGATTAGAACTTATTTTTGGCCAGGTATGAGAGGTGGCTAGTGCATCCTCACGTAAAGTGCAACAAACTTGTTTGTGTTATGTACATGGGTCCACACGGTGAGCTCTTGTTATGATGCTGGATTTACCTCCCTCTTCAAATACTCCAAACCCCTTTAGTACGTAGATTTTTAAAAGGGATTTTGATCATGTCTCTCTGGAGGGTCAGCCACCAGTTGATAAATATTTGCTCAAAGAACTCCTGTGCTTGTTTAGAGGTATGCTTTCAGCCATTGTCCTGCATAAAACGTTGGTGGTCCGAGTACACTTGGTGGAAAAACGAAGACGAGTTGTCTCCCAGGATGGTGCCAAATGGAGCATACATGGATATTACACTGCCTAAACCAAAAAGCACATTCCATTCAACCCACAAGTCATATTCTGCAAGCGAAGAAGGTATAATCTAATAGTAGCCTAGTCTGGTTCCCACACCTTCCTTCTGTGCATGTGTGAGAGAGGGAGGGAAGGTTCTGGTAATTTTCTATACTCCAGCGCGGATCCTGCAATTCAATTACGTGGCCTTAACTCAAGTGTTGCGGTCAAAACTTATGAATGAATCTCATTGCTATAAATGCCTAGCTGGCTGCTGTAGCGATGCAGAGTAAACCTACGCTATGACTGGCGTTAGAGTCCTGAGTGCGCTGATCGCTTCCCTTTGCTTCGGCTTCAAGGCTGCCAAGCCGACTTCCTTTGCTGCACTCTCGACCGTGCTTTCCATGCTTTCATCGTCGGAACAACTAGGGACAGGACTACCGCTAGCTACGTCGCCCTCTACGGGTGACTACCGGCAATGCACCCGTAATAGGTAGTTGTGGCTTGTAACACATTTTGCATTCTAGCCAAGGACTCTGCGCTGGGTATAGATGTTTACCAGACCCTTCCTTCTCTCTCTCACATACATATACGCACAAAAGGAAAAGGATGGGAACCAGACTAATAGTAGCCAAGCACTGCATGTGGCACATTTGGTGCATTATATGCAGGGGGTGCAAGTTAAACCCTATACTTTTATTCCCTTGCTTGCATGTTTTTCCTGACTTGTGGATATTAATGTGGCAATAATATATTTTAGTGTTTTTGATGTGTCCAATCATTCAAAATATGTGTGGGCTTGGATCAGCGTAAGGGGATGAAATAGTGTGTGTTCAATGGAGTCATTGATGCTGATTCTTTCGGACTTTGGTTCAAGTGGAATGCATGTACATACTTTGGCTGTTTATCAGTGGTTCCCTGCAATTCTACAGCAAAACCTCCGGTCGGTCTTCATATCGAAGGTGTGTGAAAGTTATCCCACAGTGGTATCGTCGTCAGTCTGTATTTTAGCATCCACCATGACTTCCACTACAGGCAAGACCATAACCAGGCAACTACTTCCCTCTGCTCTTGCGACCGAGCTGGTTCTTATGGTTGTGGGCCAACAGTTTTTCGAAGCCCTTACAAGGTGGGGCTCATTCCTTTCCTGACTGCCCAAGAACTCGCTTTCAGGTACTCAGAGTACGGCATCACAGAAGAACCATGACATGAACTGTGAAAATGGTTACAGCCTGATAAGTTTCAAGCGATAAACACAATGGCAGAAAGGTATTAAGTCTGAAACAAGTAAATGGTTCATGGGGTGAATGCCATTGAACTGTGAAAGTTTATTTCTGTGTGTAGAACGTTGGGGGTGGGGTTGCATGTTTTTTCCTGCTTGTGGACACTCGCACACATTAACATCAGACTTCCTGCAACAGTACTCGCAGCATTTTACTGCGGCTCTTATTGAGTAGCAAAGGTACTCTGCAAACACTTTACAGGTCTTGTTGGGGAAAGGTTGATGTTGTTTTGGGCCAGCTATCTAAGCTTTTATAATGAAAAGCACTGAAGTGCAAACCCTCGGCGCACTGCGCATGGGCGGTACCGCTAAAATTAATGGTGGGCTGGGCTGGGCATGGTAGCATGCGGGAGTCAATACATACGTCCTTCGTTGTTTTTTCTTGTACGTACCTCTAAGGTACATGGAGCAAGCAGATCAGGTCGAAGTAAGCCAGCACAATTGTTCATTATTGGCTTTTCTCTTGGTTTCACGTCATATTTCCGAATGCAGTCGTTTCAGGAAAAACACCATTTTGAAGCCGTTAGTATCACTCATGGGCTGCCTCGTAGCCAGTAGTGCCACAATAGCTAGTGACAAATCAGACACACACACAGACCTAGTACTGTAACCCTCGTTGTGCATGCGCGGCGATGGTTAATGATAAGCACTGAAGTGCAAACCCTTAGCGCACTGCACAGAACTGCTAATTGGTGGGTTGGGTCAAGAGTACACGTTTACTCATGGTCTCCATGCTAGCCTGGCGGAGAGTTTGACCCGGCCTTGCTACGCCGGTAGATAGCATGCGGGAGTAGATACATTCCCTTAGTTGTGACTTCTTGAGCCTGCAAGGTACTGTACACTGAGCAAGCGGATCAGATTGAGGTAAGCCCAGTGCAATTTTGGATGTTGGCTAGGCTTTCCGATGTGAAGTGGAGCTCCACAGGCTTCTTCCACCTGCATCATTTCTCAAGAGGCCATGCCATAATAGCTGAACATACCTGCTCAATTTCTTCATCAACATAGCCACAACAATGCAGCAGTTTTGATGGAGGCTCATGCAACAGTAACACAATACTAAATGTCGTTGCAGGTACTTCCGCACTGTAATGTTTACGTGATTCTAAATGCGTGCAAAACACAATCGAAATATTTAACTGCTCGCACTCGCTCCCCAAAATGTGTGGCATTCATTCTAGTTACTTTACTGTTCTACAATGAAAAGCACTGAAGTGCTAAACCCTCGGCGATTTTTCAGCATGTTGTTTGTTGATAAATTTGAACAGCAGTAATAATTTTTTCACGGTTTGCTGTAGCAAACTATCTTGCAGTACTGTAGCATTACACACACTAACATGTTGCAGGAGTGGTGCTGTGTAAATGAAAAGCACTAAAGTGCAAACCCTCGGCGAACTGTACTTGCGCGGTACTGCTAATTGATGGGCTGGGCTATTAGTGTGCGTTTACTCGCGGTCTGCCGCTAGTAGCTCGCAGAGAGTCTGACATGGGCTAGCTACAGTAATAGATAGCATGTGAGAGTCGATACACGCCGTTCGTTGTGACTTCTTGTGCCTTCAAGATACACAGAGCAAGCGAACCCGGTCGAGGTAAGCCTGTGCTAAGTGCATGCGCATTTTCCGGAGCGATAAAATTGTGTCTACCGGCATTAGCCGTACAATGCTGGATGCGCTCTAGCTTTGCAACGGAGCATTTTCAGAGAAAACAGTTCGAAATTTCTGACCTTCACTGCCCGTTAAGTAGGTCGTGTCGTGTGAGACGAACAAACACCCGAGAAGTGAGATAGAGAGTAACAGACAGACAGACAGACACACGCACAGACAGATGTATAAAGTGCGCACCTCGGCCGTTCTGCCTATTGTCCCCCGCTTTGGCCGGCTCCGCGTACGCGAGTAATTCCGACTTTATGTGCGTAGATTACGATATTCCACAGTTGCTGTAAATCTTCTGCGGAAATTTATACCGGCGTCCCACTAAGTGGAGCACTGTATTCCTGTGGAATGTTGCTTTTCATACCGTAGTTTTGTATTCCTCATCGTCGTCCTTGGTGGAGGGACGGTATTATGTAAATCATCGATTATAAATATTTGAAATCGGACTTCGGCATTGAGAGATGCTTTTTTGTTTGAAATTCTCAAACATGGAAATTCTTTAGGTTAAAAGACTTTCCTTCTTTAAGGGGGCGGTTGCGCCGTTGTTCCACCGACTGTCACAGTCATGTTGCACCGTAGGTAACAGGCTTTCACGACTGTTAATGGCTAGACTTTCCGAGTTAATTAAGATGGAGCTCCACAGGCTTCTTCCACTTCATGGCATTTCGCAAGAGGTCATGCCTTTTCTGTTCCACTTGTTTAAGAGCCCGAAATGTCTGCTCAATTTCTTCATCTGAAATGTCTGCTCAATTTCTCAACATAGCCACAACAATGCTGCACGTAGGCTCATGTAACGGCAACACAATGTCCAATAGACCAGTTTCACGAACGCCACAAGGAATGCATTAGTTTTAAATTGAACGTGACGTCACATCCGGAGTCCCGTTCTGGCTCCAGCAATGTATTACGTTCTACGGAGAAAATGGAACTGTCCGTACTTAGAGCGGCGTAGCGCGTAGCTCTTACGGTATGCTCTATTTATAAGCTACTTTTGCGATATGACAGTAACCGTAGTATGTGTGAAAAAAAGAACGGACGCTCTAGCTTGTTCCTGCACGGAGATCTGGGCTGAGAAAGGATATCATGACTGGAATTGATGTGTTCTGTGTGGCTCTACACATGCAACAGACCCTGGAGCCGTTCCCCCGGCTGAAAAACGTCGAGAGCGAGGTGGATTGCAAATCTACAGCTAGGTGCTGACGCTGTAAAAAAACCATATTCTCGGCTGTGTAGCCGACACTCTCCTGGAGGAGACCCGAGCAAGGAGCCTCAGCTTAACTTTGGAAAAGAGGCCCCAGGGGCTGTTGCACGTGTAGAGCTGCACAGAACACATCAATTCCAGTCATGATACTAACAACTATCCTTTCTCAGCCCAGATCTCCGTGCAGGAACTAGCTAGAGCGTTCGTTCTTTTTCTCACACATACTGCGGTTACTGTAATATCGCAAAAGTAACTTATAAATAGAGCATACCGTAAGAGCTACGTGCTACGCCGCTCTAAGTACGGACGGTTCCAGTTTCTCCGTAGAACGCAATACATTACTGGAGCCAGAACTGGACTCCGGATGTGACGTCACGTTCAATTATCTCGCCCACTTTACGTGCCATGCATACTTTTGCATTCGTGAAAACTGGTCTATTGCAGAGCTGACCAATGGATGGATTTTGCATGTGCAAATGGTGTAGGGACTGTGACTATCAGTCTTTTTCAATCAATTATTGGTGAGCGAAGCAAGCCTACCTAGTCGCCTGAATGCAGAACTTTTCATGTTGCGACCCTCACTGGCGCACTTTTATTTTTACGTGATTCTACGTGAATTATTGAACTGCTCGTGCTCGCTCGCCAATAATGCGTGGCATTCGTTCTAGTTACTTCCCATTTGGTTACTGTTGTACAACTATGTACACTAGTAGGAAAAGGACAGAGTATCGTTTCACCTTTTCCAACATGTTGCGTTTTCCTTACCCACTGCCAACTTTCACCAGCATTACAAACAAAACCAGTATTAACAGGAGGGTGTGTGTTGGGTGTCTTAAGTGATCTTTGTGTTTAATTACGTATGAAATGCCTTTCATGTAGCTGGCACTTTTGTGTGGTGCTCCTGGCCTTGGAAAGACTACCCTGGCCCATGTCATAGCCCAACATGCTGGCTACCAGGCTGTGGAAATGAATGCCAGGTCAGACGTGCACCTCGGCTCTTAGGGACTACTCTATTATGTTTTCACTTTATCAGTGATGATCGTAGTGCGGATCTGTTTAGGCAGAAGCTAGAGGCAACTACTCAGATGCAGGCTGTTCTAACACCTAATCACAGGCCTACGTGCCTCATTATTGATGAAATTGATGGGGCCCCCACGGTTAGTTACTACGTGTTATAGCAATGAAAATGTATGCTTAGTGCTATAAGCGTGGCTAGTTGAATGGTACCAACTACCCAAGAATACACTGGCAATGACATAAAACCTGTTGCACATCTGTCTTTTTATTGTTTAAACGTGGCTAAATGCCTTCCACATTTAAAATCTGAAGTAAGTCCAGTAAGTATTGTGTGCTCCTGTACATGCTGTGCAACTCTCTTGCATTACATGTGGTGCAACCCTTCCACATAATGTTACAACACAAGCACAATAATAGCTTCTTAGTGCTTGTACCTGTCGTTTTGGACACCAGGCATGCTTCAGGCATTGCCATTTGGTTTCAAGTAACGTACATGCAAGCAACCCTTCGTGAACAATCTAGACACACCCGGAGGTGTTCCTACCATATTGCCAACACTTGCTAGAACTAGCTCATCCTCTCCCATATAGCAACAACCTTAATCTCAATTCAATGCCCTTGTTGCTCTGTTTATGCTTATAAGAACAACGCCGGCACAATCTGTTACACACTCGGTACATACGTAACACTAACATTTGTTACATTTCAGGCTGCTATCAATGTCCTTATTGAGATGGTAAAGAGAAAAGATTCAGGTGAGTTAATCGTATTGTCTTGCTTTTGATGTTGTTGGATCTGATTCAGGATATGTATTTTGTCCCAGATACTGATACTTGTTTTTCATAAGCTTGTTGCATTAACTCTCAGTCTGCTGTGTCTAATTCAGCTGTTCAACGAAAAGCACTAAAGTGCAAACCCTCGGCGCACGGCGGAACCGCTAATTTAGGGGCTGGGCTATCAGTATGCTTTTAGCTCGCGAAAAGTCTGGTTACACCAGTAGATAGCATGCAAGTCTATACACGCCCTTCGTTGTGCCTTCTTGTTCCTCCAATGTACACAGAGCAGGCAAGGTAAGCCAGTGCAATTATGCTTTTTGCTTGTTTTTACGGCATACATGTATCTCTCGAACACATTCATTTCAGAATAATTGCCATCACCAGCTCTGAAGAAGAAACTGTTGGTAGCGCTCATAGGCCATCTGGTAGCCTGTAGTGGCTGAATAGCCATCGACGGACGAACAGACATGGGATTTTTATACATTGAGTATTGTTCCACCTGATTCCAAAAAATTGAAATGCTCGCTTTACTCACCAAGAATGTGTTGCATCCATTCTAGTATTAATTGTGCAATTGATATCCACTGTCCTTTTTAAAGGGAAAAAGAAGAAAACACGCCAAAAGATTTTGTCACGCCCCGTGATCTGCATCTGTAATGATCAGTAAGTTTAAAAATTCGTGTGGATTATTACTGAATTTACATCAAATTAGATATGCACCTTCCTTGCGTCAGCTGAAGCAGTTTTGTCTGGTCCTAATGTTCCCTCCGACTTTGGCCTCCAGACTTGCGTCACGACTGCAACAAGTACATGGTTTTATATTTATGCAGTTTCTGACATTAGTCTCAATACATGCATTTTTTGTTGTAGGTTACCCACCAGGAGCATATGATCTCATCCATATCAACGCTAATGGCACTATGTGAGAAATCAGAAAATGATATTAGGGCTTGTCTCAACACCCTCCAGGTATGTGCATACATTAGCTGTTAAAAATAGCTTCTGTTTCACTGGCACAAGAACGGAGCGGCCATTCCACTCTGTTGTGTTTGTAGTAGCGTGCATTTCCTTCACAAGCGATGGTGGGACGGCCAATGACAGCAAAACCAAGAAAAGTCACAGCACAGAGCGACGAGAAAGCTTCCATGCACGGGTCTTGTCACTCCATTGCACTACAGAATCATGGGGAGTTACTGATCCTCTTCCCGGAAAGTCTGGTCCCGCGAGACTGCAGGAGGAAGGTCTTGCAATGCAAAGAAGTTGTGTTCCATTGCTTCCCTTAGCGTTTAGCAGTTGCGTAGTTCACACCAACATATGTTATGATGTGCACTTGACACATTTCAATTCTGAGATATGAACGTTGTCAAGGCTGTTAGCTTCTTTCTGGTTCACCCACATCTCTTAGTTTATTAGCAGACAGGAGCAGGAACTCACACTGGGACTAGTTCAGAATGCTAGTGTGGGACAGAAGGATGCTCAGATGGGTCTGTTTTCCTTATGGAAAGAGATATTCCAGCTTCCTTCCACTAAGAGGTATTGGTCTCATTAACCCTTGGCGCGCATGCGCAGCGAGGGTTACAGTAGTTGGTCTGTCTGTCTGTCTGTGTCGACGCTTATTCTGGCACTACAGGCTACGAGGCAGCCTATTAGCGATACCAGCGGCTTCAGAACTACGCAAGCCTGAAAAATAAAAGGGTGATTTTCCTTAAACAACTGTGTTCGAGAGATATGCCGTGAAAACAAGCGAAAAAGCCAATATACATATTAGCACTGGGCTTACCGCGACCAGATCCGCTCGCTCCTGTGTACCTTGGGGGCTCAGGAAGTCACAACGAATGGCATGTATCAACTCCTGCATGTTATCTACTACTGTAACTAGGCCGTGTCAGAATCTCCGCGAACTCTACTAGCGGGAGACCACAACTAAACGCATACATAGCCCAGCCCATCAATTAGCAGTATCGCGCATGCACAGTTTGCCGAGGGTTTGCACTTTAGTGCTTTTTATTTGATTATGCCTTAATAAGCATTACTGAATAGTCAGAAATATCGTTCCCTTTTTCCTCAGGCGTTCTGTAGGTCGTTTAATTGGCAGTATCAATGCAACTTCTCAAGGTATATCCACATACATCGCTCTCCATTAGGGTTTGATCGTCTTTGATTTAGGTGGTCAAGAGATGGGTGCTTCTGCTGCTCGGTTCTACCACATGCTCTCTGCTGCATCTTCCTGTGGAGAGTATGAGAAAGTGTCCAACGGTGAGTTCTTTCTTGTAGCTACATACATACAAACTGGATTTCTGTATCATGTTGTTTTATAGGATTGTTTGAAAACTACTTGAACATTCGATTCAAAGACCCAAACCTGGAGGCAGTAAGCAAACTGTGCTAAATACTACTCTTAATTCTGTGACGTGTTATAGATATGTATTGGTCTGGACTGGGTGGTGTTCTACGATACACTTCAGCAGCACATTGCTCAAACCCAGAGCTACCTGTTCTGGGGGTATCTCCCTTTTCTTTCTGTGACCTTTCATTTTCTCTTTGCCGCTCCCTCCAAGCCATACATCAGATATCCTCACACAAACTTTGAGGTAATCCTTCAACACATTACAACATTGTTGAGAAATATGCTTTTCCATGCCAAAAATATGCAGATAATCTTTCCTTTTTGTGCTCATAAAGCTTCCTTGTGGTTAGGTACATAAATGCTTGCCTTAACTATGGTGTCACGAAGAAGATAGCCACAACAATTGATCAGGTGTTACAACACAGTAGTGCTGAGTTGTGACATGTTTGCACAGCCCAATTTCAAAGCTCTGTTATTAGGGCACCCATGTAACATTTGCTGTGGCTTTGTGCTTTAGTGCAAGGAGTATGCTTTCCCACCTAATTGGCCTGAAGCTGCAAATGTCTGTTACAGTCACAGGTTTGCTTACAGAGTGAAGTTCACAATTAATGCCATTTTTACTTATAATTATAATATACTTGCCGTCACCAGGGTCTTTTCCATCAAAGTTACTACAAGTAAATAAAAAATTCTTCGAATTAAAAAAGTGTGGAATATTGGGATGCCATAAAAAGTAAGGAGACAACACAGGGATGACCTAGTGAACATGGTGCAGTAGTACAATGGTTGATGGCTACATACTTTGAACTGACATCGCTTGCTCTTGTAAAATTTCCTCCACACAAGCCCTATATTGTCATGAAGTACGAGTGTATGATGATTTATTTCATAAGCACATTCGACAGGTAATACCACCTGCTCGGTTTTCAGTTGTGACTGCATTGTGTGAAGTCTAAGACTTCTACATTTGCTCAACTAACCGCTGCCATCTACATACAGAATCCTTTCACCATTGTCCTCGCACTTCACTTGTCCTCGCACATCACTAAACAAACAGTAAAAAAACAATATAGGGCTTGTGTGAAGGAAATTTTATGCAAGCAAGCGATGTCAGTTCAAAGTATGTAGCCATCATCCATTGTACTACTGCATGATGTTCACTAGGTCATCCCTGTCTTGTCTCCTTACTTTTTATGGCATCCCTATATTCCACACTTTTTAATTGGAAGAATTTTTAGTTTACTTGTCTTCTTTCATTTTTTACTGCATTCACATGCATGGTGTGTAATAAGCCCATAAAAAGCGGCCTTTGCTTCATATGTTTTGTCGTCATTCACATAGCATCAGTGCACCACGTTTCATTGTGAGAGGACCCATCATAGGCACTGATACCATTTAAAAGTCTAGGCTGTTTGTTGTTGTTTACAACCTTGTAATTTCTGTTTCGATGAACTCTTATCATGGTAAATCAGTGCACCAAGTTTCATTGTTAGAGGACCAACCATATAGAGGCACAAACACCATTTACAAGTTTCTATTGCCTTAGGTTGTTTGTTGTTGTTAACAAACTTGTAATTTCTGTTTCGATGAACTCTCATCATGGTACGTCAGTGTACCAAGTTTCATTGTTAGAGGATCCACCTTAAGCAACTTACAGGCACAAACACAATTTACAAGTTTTTTTGCCTGAGGCTGTTTGTTGTTGTATACAAACTTGCAGTTTCTGTTTCTATGAACTGTCATCATGGTACATCAGTGTACCATGTTTCATTGTTAGAGTACCCATCATAAGCAAGTTAGAGGCACAAACACCATGTTGTTGTTTACAAACTTGTAATGTTGTTACTGATGATGGGTTGTATATGTGTACGAAGTTTTATCACTCTGGGTATTTAGCACTCTGGGTAGTTAGCACCATGTGTTGGTCTATATCATAATGTGTTGCCTGGGGCTATTTTTTGTTGTTTTTAGTTGTTTACATGTAAACAAAATTGAAAAAAAAAGCTCTTGCACAACCTGCCATGGATTGTGCAAAGTTTCATCTCCATATCTTACCTGGTGTTTGAGATAGGCGTGTCTAAACTGAACAACAACAACAATAACAACAACAATGAAAAACACTATTGTGCAAACCCTCGGCGAACTGCACATGTGTGATACTGCTAATTGATAGGCTGGGCTATTTGTATGCGTTTACTCGGGTCTCCCGCTAGTAGCTCGCGGAGAGTCTGACACGGACTAGTTACGGTAGTAGATAGCATGCAGGAGTCGATACACGCCATTCATTGTGACTTCCTGAGCACAGAAGGTACACAGGAGCGAGCAGATCTGGTCGCAGTAAGCCCAATGCTAATATGCATATTGGCTTTTTCTTGTTTTCACGCCATATCTCTCCAACACAGTCGTTTCAGGAAAATCGCCCGTTTATTTTTCAGGCTCGCGTAGTTCTGAAGCCGCTGGTATCGGTAATAGACCGCCTCGTAGCCTGTAGTGCCAGAATAAGCGTTGACACACACACAGACAAACCAACTACTGTAACCCTCGCTGCACATGAGTGCCGAGGGTTAACAAGATGAAAACTAACTTTCTTGAATAAATCAAGTACTGATTGTGCGATTTAATCCATTTCTTGGATAAATGCTCTTTGTGACGATACGGATAAGTCTGATGTGTCAAAAGTTGGATCTGATTGAAACTGAAGTGAAACATGATAATCTCAAATGTATGGGCATAATGCAGGATGACCTGAGTCATCCCTATATACTAAGTATTGCCGTACTTATGTGTTGTTTTCTCCAGATGTTTCAGAAGAAGAAACAGAATAACCACTTGCTGTCATCGGTTACAATGGAGGCACCACCACATATCCAGCGTATGCTAACCTCAACCCAGCTAGCCCTGGACATGCTGTGTCCAATACTGGAGATCATCACCCCCTCCTTTAGGCCTGTAAGCTTGTGTGTTTAGTAAAACTGCCTGCTGCTTTGTGTGTATGTACGTTCTTAGGCTGATGATGTACAGAACTGTCTGACCGTGTCAAAATAGTCTAAGAACACAGGGGACTAATGCATAAGCAATTTTGTAGCTACAAAACCAGGCCACAATTGCAAAAACATGTACACGTAACTGTGCCTTGTCAATAACAAGATAGCAAGGCAAAGCGAGCAAGTCAGCTTCCTCATAACTCATTGCGGACTGATGTCACACTGTATGTGACTGGAATCACCCCGCCGTACGGACGGATATCACAGATGCTGTGACATGCAAACGCTTTGCGTTTACTTAGCTCACCCGCGTCATAGCTGCCAGCCGCACCTCAAGGCTACGCCCACCTACAACTGGGAAACCCACTGGATTACTTTAGCGCCTGTGGGCGACATTCTTGTGGCTGCCAAAACTGCCCAAACAACCCGCGTTAATACATGCACCTTGTAAAGTGACAAACACAATGTTATACATCAGGTATAGTGATACAAAGACTTTAGCTAACGGCTAGGAAATAAGCTTAGAAGGCTGATCACGAGCATTTGTGACTGTAGTTGAGGGCTTTCATACTTCAACTGACTTCCAGGGCCTGCAAGAAACGGCAAAAAAATAAACACGACAGAGTAGCGTAGGTATAGGAATTTAGGACACATGCAAGTACTCTTGTATGATTGTGCTGTCGAAATATGGCTTCTACGAGAGAGAAAACTGTGCTGTGCACCACAGAAGCACACACTATAGATTGCATTACATCGCAATAGCGTATTTTCTCTCACACACGCTCCCGTATCGCTGCTGTTTTGACTGCAGTAAGTATTTAGATCTCATCTACTGTCCATAGAGCCTTTTCTGAACTTGTTATGTACTATATTTTGTGCACCAGCTGCTCATAAAAAGAAAAGGTCAGGGGTCAAAGCTTTATTCTTCAAAGCGGGCCGCTTTATGCAGCGCAAACACACATTCATGCACGTATTTACCTTTGGTACTGTCCCAGCATCACCTCTCTCTCGATCTGGATCTGCAACAAGTCTCTGTCCTAGCTATAAGGTAACAAACTCGCGAGAGAATCACACGAAGCGTCTTCCCCGCTACATTCAGAAAATACTGCCGACTGTGCAATAATTTCACGCGCGTCGTCTGCAATGATTACACGCCGTTGCCGCCTATACGCGACAGATCCACGCGTGCTGGCAATGCCGCTGTCGCTTATAAGCGACACACGTACCTGTCAAAGTGAAGGTGCTGCCGCTCCATGGTCGCGCGGGCTGTAGCAACGATATTCTCCACAACCTTTCCACTGGAGTTCAGCTAACTAAAAGTGCACTTTGAACTATGTACTCTCATATAAAAAGCGGGAGAAAACGGACCAAGTTAACAAACACGGATTTGTGCGCACAGCGATCATCTGCAGCCGGTGCGTCTTTATTCAACGGAGATAGTGCTACCCAGCGATCACTCTTTCTTCCCACCATCAATGGCTACCGACCCCCGCAGCGATCACTCTCTCTTCCCACCATCAATCGCTACCAACCCCCCCAGCGGTCACTCTCTCTTCCCACCATCAATCGCTACCAACCCCCCTAGCGATCACTCTCTCTTCCCACCATCAATCGTGACCAACCCCCCCCAGCGATCACTCTCTCTTCCCACCATCAATCGCTACCAACCCCCCCAGCGACCACTATCTCTTCCCACCAACAATCGCTACAAACCC